CCTGGCACTGCGTGGGGTTGTGTTTGCTTTGGTGGTTTCTGAGACAGGTGTGTGGAAGTAGATTTCGGGTTCTCTTCCCTTCCTTGGATGGGCCCCACAATGTCCCAACTTTGCCTAGTGCCAGGTTCACCACAGAATATGCACGGACACTGCTGGCAGGCAAGTCAAGGGAGGACCCCATTTCTTGTCCTTCTTGTGCCTTGGGGGAGGGCTGAATCAAGCCAGACCTCAAGGGAAGGAGGCCTGAGCTCCCCTCATCGATGGGAGATCCTGGAACGTCCCTACCTCTGTGTGACACACCTAGATCTGCAGGGAGTGCTTGTCAGGCCCTGCCTCTGGCTTTTGTATCAAGTCCAGTGCTCCTGAGAGCCACCTGGACACACTGTCTTCAGCCCTCTGATGCATGACCAGCCTCACCCACCTCCACGTTTGGTGGAGGAACATGTGGGCATGGTCACGATTTGGCCAGCAGCCTGGATGGTCCAGGCTCTGACCCAGTAGGAGGAATGACAGCACATGGCAGCACCATGGAGGAATTGCCAGGAAGGGCGGAGCCAGTCTGGGCTGCCCTCTGGGCAGGTGACAGCTGTGTGCCCAGCACGTGACTGCCCTCAGGTGCTCCACCCTCTTTTGGGGAGGCAGGGAGGTGGACAGATGCAGGGCTCCGGGGCAGGTTGCTCGTGGGAGAGGCACTGAAGTAATTGAGACTGGAAGGAAGTGCTGGCCAGCTGGGATCAGAAGAGACTGCCAGCCACGCTCCTGGGCACTCCTGACCTGGAGCTGCTCAGCATCTGCTCCTGGAGGATGTGGGCCCGGGGCTCTAATGGGGTTCTGTTTAGCTTGGAGTCTGTGGTGGCCTGGTGTCCCCATATGACCCACATCCCAGCACTCATGGGGCCCTAGAGGGGTCCAGCTAGTCAACAGGATACCTGCTTTGGGCGCCCTGGGCCCGGCCCTGCCGTTGTGGGACTTCCAGGTTGGAGGGAGACAGACACCCATGAAATAGACAAGCCAACAAGTATGCCAGTGCAAACAAGGTTGTTGGCTCTGCAGGAGCGGAGGACTGTTCCGGAGGGGGTGCAGGGGAGGGGACTGAGCCGTCCTGGGCAGCTCCCTGGAGAAGGGATGCTTGAGCTGAGGTACAGAAGATGAACCACGTCAGGGTGGAAGGAGGGCTTTTCTAGGGAGAAGCCACAGGGGCCAGGAGCTTCACGGAGCTCACAGAAGGCCACTCTGGTGGGGTGTGGAAAGCAGAGAACAGGCTAGTAGGGGCTCTTGTAGAGGCTGAGGCCAGTCGCTCATCACCCCAACCCCACCCGGATGGACCTGTGTCCCCAGGGAGGCTTCAGTGCTGCAGGGGGGCCTCCAGTGACCTGGAGGAGGCAGAGAGAAGGATATGATGTGTGCCTCAACAGCCATCCTGGAGTTGACAAAGTGCCTATAGCTGAATTTTTTTTTTTTCCAAGATGCAGTTTTGCTCTTGTCGCCCAGGCTGGAGTGCAATGACACAATCTCAGCTCAGTGCAACCTCTGCCTGCTAGGTTCAGGAGATTCTCCTGCCTCAGCTTCCCAAGTAGCTGGGATTACAGGTGTGCACCACCACGCCCAGCTAATTTTGTATTTTTAGCAGAGACAGGGTTTCACCGTGTTGGTCAGACCAGTTTCAAATCCTGACCTCAAGTGATAAGCCTGCCTTGGCCTCCCAGAGTGCTGGGATCACAGGCTTGAGCCAGAATTCCGTCTGTAGCCGGAATTCTTCAGGAAGGGCAGGAGCAGGAACAGAGCCCTTAGGGTGGGAGCTGGTCCCCCTGGGGTGCCCTGGGACAGCCCCTTCCCAGAGGCTGCCTATGAGACCTTGGTGTCGTGTGTGGGATGTGCCTTCTGATCCCAGGGTCTGGGAGGCAGGACACCCTAAGCCAGGGTCCCTGGAAACTCTGGGCTCTCTCCAGGTGACTGGGACGTATGATTCGTCTGTCAACCCTAAGTTTTAAATTAAGTCCCAGCCTGTGACCACATGAGGCCTCCAGTTATTTTTTTCTTTTTTTCTGAGTCAGGGTCTTGCTCTGTCACCCAGGCTGGAGTGCAGTGATGCAATCTCAGCTCACTGCAGCCTCCACCTCCTGGGATCAAGCCATGCTCCCACCTCAGCCTCCCGAGTAGCTGCGACCACAGGCAATCGCCACTGTGTCCAGCTAAGTTTCCAGCTTTAAAGTGTCTTCCTGTTTCTTGCCAGCCAACGTCACAGCCTTTGTCTTGTTTAGAGTGATGATGTTGCGCTCTGAAGGGTGAAAGTCTCAGGTTTCGGTTGTGATTGAAAATTGTCCTGACGTTTACAAGTGTTAATTGTGTTATGACCACAGGAGGCTCCTCTCTCCTCTTCGTTGTTACGTCTATGCTTTTATGATCAACCTACTTCGTTGTTTAAAATCATTGTTGATTGACGTTAGGAGTTTCTTCAGATTTCTAACATAGTAATTAAGCCACGAGCAGCCAGGATCTGGCCATGTTGGGTGGTGACCAAGAGGGGCCTTCGAGGGCAACAAGAGCACGTTTTTTGAGGCCGGGCGACGTGGCTCACGCCTGATTATAATCCGAGCACTTTGGGAGGCCAAGGCAGATGGATCACTTGAGGCAAAGAGTTCTAGACCAGCCTGGTCAACAAGGCAAAACCTCATCTCTACAAAAGACACAAAAATAAGCCAAGGGTAGTGGTGTACGCCTGTAATCCCAGGCAGTTAAGTGACCGGCATGACAGTTGCTTGAACCTGGGAGACAGAGGTTGCAGTGAGCTGTGATCGCGCCAGTGCACTCCAGCCTGGGCAACAGAGCAAGACTCCACCTCAGAAACAAACAAAGCATGTTTTCTGTTGCTCCTCAAAACTAAAAGCCAGTGTTCAAAGACCCCGGGAAGCTGCCCACCTCCAGGCAGCATGCTCATGGCTGACCCCTCATAGGTGACCCTGTGGTCGCAGGGAAGCTCCTGTTGGTTTCCGCTCATGGGAAGGGCTCATTCCTGCTTTTGGCCTGTGACCCCCAAGAGTTATACACAGTTGTCAGTGAGGAATGTGGCAAATGGGGAAGGAGGCACAGATGCTGGGAGACCCTCAGGGCTGACCCGCTGAGCCTTCCAGCTCCTTAGCTGGGGCCTGCCCATGGCCTACCCTCCTCCCAGGGTATGTCTTGTAACTGGGGGCGCTTTGCATGGGACTCTGTACCTTGCAGCTCACGTAACGCCTGCTGGCGCTGACCACACGGCTCCTTCCTTCTCTCCCGGCACTGGCATGAAGCGCTGCCTGTAAGTATGAAGGTGAATGTGACATGGGTCGTTCTGATACTTCCTAACCTGAAATAACCACTATTACCTCTGGCCTGCTAACCGCCCCCCAGCAGCCACCACCTGGCTGCTTTCTCGCTCTGGGTGTCTAAACCTGCCTTGCGAGGCCTGTCTTGGTAGAGTTAGGACACTAGGGAGTTCCAGAGGCTGCATTAAAAGGTACCCGAAGCCAGCTCTGGTTCCTGGGGAGCAAGTCCCAGCGGCCAGATTCCGGCAGAGATTTCCTTGAGCCTGTCCCGGAATGAGGCCACGCTGGGCCACTGGGGAGGGTGTTCTGACCACAGGGCACCACTTGCCCCGGAAGCCCCTGGGGTTTCTGCAGCCTGGTGGCCAATGACATCATTGATGGTGACATGGCAACACGTTTTCCGGACCCCAGATCAGCCCATAGCTATCCCCCAGGCAGGTTCTCTCATGCCTGCCTATAGGGAAGAGCTGAGCTCCCTGAGATTAAGAGATTATGTCGAGGCAGGCGAGAGGATAGAGCCCATGCTGGGGAGGGTGGTGGGGCAGAAGAGCAGCTCTGAGTCAGGAAGCTTCTGCCAGGATGGACTGTTGTGCCCCTGGGGGTGTGCGGCATACAGAGAGGTTGGTTAGGGTTGCTGGTGGGAGAGAGACACGGGGACAATATATGGGAACAGGTGACTTTGGACTTTGTCATGATTCACAGGGAAATGGAAATGACTCTGGCCAAGGGGTGTGATGTCCAGCAGCCCAGAAGAGGAAGCTCTGGTCCCGTGGGCAGGACCAGTGGGGCCAGAAGGGAGGCCTAGCATGTAGTCACATATGATTCAATCCCACCAAGGGGCATGGACAGTTGCCCTGTGTCACTGGAGCCTCTGGGGGCTGGCTGTGGAAGGTGATACAAGGCTCGGTCTTGGTGCTTGGAGCAGTGTAGGGGGCAGCTGTGGCTCTGGGGGCCACCAGCAAGGACAGGGAGTGGACAGGGCAGGTTGCACGTTTGACCTTGACCTGAGGAAGAACAGAGCCAGGTGACACCTAGAGCTCCTAGAAGGCAGACTGTGGCCTCCCTGGTGAGGCACAGTGACTCTGCCTTTTGGTGGGTGCTGCCACTCCCACCCCCAAGAGACCCTGCCTGGGCAGGACTGGAACTCATGGCCACCAAGATCCTTCAGTGCTGAGTTTCTACACAGATAAATCTGCTCACTAGAAAAACATTCAGCGAGGCGCGGTGGCTCACAGCTGTAATCTCAACACTTTGGAAGGCTGAGGTGGGCAGATCATAAGGTCAGGAGTTCGAGACCAGCCTGGCCAACATGCCGAAACCCCATCTCTACTACAAAAAAAAAAAAAAAAAAAAAAGCTGGGCCTGGTGGCATGTGCCTGTAATCCCAGCTACTCGGGAGGCTCAGGCAGGAGAACTGCTTGAACCCAGGAGGCAGAAGTTGCAGTGAGCCAAGATTGTGCCATTCCAGCCTTGATGATACAGCGAGACTCCGTCTTGGGGCAGGTGCAGGGAGAAAGATAAACGTTCATGGGCTACTAACAACACATTCTAATAATTCTGTTATTTGAACATCTAGTAGTCAGCCAAGCCGCTGCTTCCCCTAACCAAGTGTCTGCGTGCTGGCCTCAGAAACGCCAATGCCCCCTGCCTGGCCGTTGGGTGGAGGCCACCCTGATCCCTGCCCTCCCTCCTCCACAGGCTTCGTCATCACCATCTCAGGACGAATGACCTTCACGAGCAATAAGTCCATGGAGATCGAGGTCTTGGTGGACGCCGACCCTGTTGTGGACAGCTCGCAGAAGCGCTACCGGGCCGCCAGTGCCTTCTTCACCTACGTGTCGCTGAGTCAGGAGGGCAGGTCGCTGCCCGTGCCCCAGCTTGTGGTGAGTGCACATCCCTGCCAGGCGGCCCTAGGGTCCCTGTGCTTGGGCCTCCAGGGGAATCTGTGCCTGCCTGAATCCTATAGTCCTGTCGGTGGGGGTCAGAGTGGGGCCGGGCCTGGCCATTGCCCAGACCAGTGACCTCGGGCTGCAGGGCTGATCCGTTGAGGTCTCTGGAAGGAACATCTCATAACCGGCGAGGAGGCCTTTGGGCTCTACTTCCAGGGCATGTGGGGTGGGGCTGGGCAGAGAGGTCCCTTTACAAGAGAGGTCCCTTTATAAGCACCTTAGCACGGATGCTGCCTGGGGCGTCCAGGTCATCTCTGAGTGTGGTGCCTTGGGGTTCCCTGGCATTGTGTTTGAACACTGGAGGGGGATGAGGACCATGCCCCGGGTCCCCCATCCCCTGCTGAAGGGCCTGCTGGGAAGCTGGAGGGAGGAGTGGGCTCCCTCCAGGTAGCCCTGGCCCGAGGGTCCTACCTGATACAGACCGAGCCTGGCTGGTGGGCTCTCAGGCTGGGGTGCCAGCTCCTTGGCCGTTCTCCTCCTTAGGCAGCGCAGGTGCGGTGGGTGTGTGCTGAGCTATACATGCTCGCTCACAGGGGCTGCTGCCCCCAGGTGTCCATGCCTCCTGAGCCTTGCCACATTTGAGAGCTGGTAGTTCTGTCTGGTATGGATTCTGTAGGGTCACAGACATCGGCAGGTTCACATGGCCCAGAGAGGCAGCTTCCTTATCTTTGTCCTAAGAACAGAGGCTCCCCATCCTGGCCAACCCCATGGGCTCTGCAGCCTTTGGGCTAGTCCTGATTCCTCTTTGAACCAGCTCTTGTGTCTGTCACTGAGGGGAGCAAGAGGAAAGCAGAGCCGCCCCTCCGGGTAGTAAGGGGGGATGGTGCCCGCAGGCCTCTTGGGAGCCTGGTGCTCTAGTGGAAGTGACTGGCAGGCAGGCACCGCAGCCCTGCGAGGCTGAGTCCTGATTACAGAGGTTCTGGAGGCCCCTGCCCCCGCAGTGTCTGCTCCCCACACAGATCTGAGAGCATTTGCTGCTCAGCCTGCCAGAGAGGAGCGTGCACTGAAATCCTTTGCAGCAAACAGGCATTGCATTAAAAACCCAATCCTCCCAGAGGCTGCAGCGCAGCCCGTCTCTTCCCCACGTGGCTGATGAAGGCCACCTGGTGGCCCCAGCTGCCTTGTTCCCAGTTGAGGCTGAGACCCCCTACAAGCCCCTCTCCCAGCCCTGCCCCTTCCTGGAGTGGAGGAGCCCATGCCTCACCAGGGCCCCTGTTGGCAGTACCAGGCGTGGTGTGTGAGCTGATAGGCCCAGAGAGTACCCTCCCCTTCCAACTCCAGGACAGCTCTTTGCTGGAGTTGGGTCCTGGCGTCTCCCAGGCTGGGTGGGCTGCGTGGGGGAGCTGATGGTGAACCTGGGCTGGAAAGCTGAAAGGAAGGCAAGTGAATGGTGGCTAGGCCCAGCACGGCACTAACAAACACAGTGCCCGTGACCCACCCTCACGCAGCTCATGTGACCAGGCCCCTCTCCTACCTGGGGCTTATGAGGCCTCCAGCCCCACCGCCTCTTCTGTGGCAAAGCCCCCGAGGCTGCCACCCCCGCCTCATCAGGGCTGGCTCTGCTGCCTGCTCTTTCCTCCCTCATCTGTTGCCACCCTTTACTTATAAACCCACCCACCTTGCCCCGGCCCATCGGCCTTGGCAGGATGGCGTCCTGCCTCCCCGTCACCTGGGCTGGTCTGCAGTCCATCCTCCGTCCCTGACCCTGCTGTGAGGCTATGGCCTCCTCTGTCCTTGACCTTCATCAGCCTTGTCTCTGGTTCTCCTCCCACCTTGGACACGCCTTCTCTGAACTTGCCTGCTCTTCTCAGCCATGAAGTATGGGCTCCGCTCTCACCCGGGCCCGCTCTGGTCTCCCCCGATGGACCCGACGCCCCTCCAGCAACTCTCCGTGCTGAACCCCCCACCTCACACAGGCAAACTCTCGCAGCTCTCTCCTTCCCCACCCGCGACCTCTTCCTGCCTCCTGGACGCACTTTCCCAGCTCCGTCTTCCCTCCGCGGGCAGAGTGGACAGATGAGAAGACACGCCCTGTCTGCTGGCCACTCCTGACTGTAGCACAGCTGACCAGGCCCTCAGTGAAGCCTGTGCTCCTTGGACAGGGGACTTGTAGTGTGTGTAGGGACAGTCTGGCCTCCCTGGCCACCACACAGTCCCCTCACCCTTGGCTTTGACAGGTCCTAACTTGTGCCCCTTCTCTCCTGGGGTTGTGGCATCCACGCCTGTGTGTCTTATTGACTGCCTCTCAGCAGGGTTTCCAAAAGCATCTCAAATACATTTTGTCCCAAATGGAACTCATTATCCCCCCATAAAACAAATTCCTCTCCGCCTCTGCGCTGCTCTGAAAGTCTGGGGACCCAGCTGGTTACTCCCCACTCCCTCATGCCCACGTCTACCCAGTGCCTCTCCATGCCTCTCTCCCGAATAGCTCTTACTGCCCTGTCCCCATGGGCCCCTGCTTAGTCCCCAGCTGCTCCCTCCTCCCTTCCTGGTGCTCTCAATCTGACCCTTCCCTGCAGCCCAGGGAGCTGGTCCTCAAAATCCGAGCCACTCCCTCTCCCATCAAATGCATGCCGGCTCCTCCATGTCCTGGGTGTGGGTGCAGCAAGCTCACTCCCGCCTGATGCCTGTTCACCTGCTGCTCCTGTCTGGACCACCCGCCCCAGACCCTCCTGGAGCTACAGCATTTCTCAGGCATTTTCTCCTTAGAAGGGCACCCACAACCGCTCTAGAGAAACATTACCTCCACCACCCCCAGACCCCCTCCCAGCACCCCCCACTACAGATGCTGCGTGGACTGTCAGGCTCACATGTCCAGGAGCAGGGTCAGCCAGAAGTCCAAAGTTATGAGCTGTGTGGCCTTAGGCATGCACTTTCTGTGTGCCTCAGTTTCCTCATCTGTATGGTGGTGGTGGGCACAGTACCCACCACATGGGGTGGGTGGAGATGGGGGGCCTTCATTGTCTGCTGCTGTTCACCTGCACTCCCTAGGGCCTCACACCCTCTTAGAGGGAGGAGAACACAGTGAAGATAGAGGAAATTCCATGCTGTCCTGGGTCACGAAGAAAGCAGGAAATGAGGGGATCGGAGTGTGCCAGGGGATAGGCCCAATTTTAAATAAGTTCCTTCCCAAAGAAAGTCTCAGCGGAGCCTGCAGTCAGGGAGGAAGGGCAGAGGCTGTCTTGTGGGGACTGTTCAAGTGAAGGGAACAGCGAGGACCAAAGGCAGAGCCACTGTCTGTAACAGGGAGCTTGGAGACAGTGACACGCCCGAGGCCACCCAGCTAGGACGGGCAGGGCAGGGGGTGGAGGGTGGTGGGAGTCTGTGGGACTCGTGCACATGGGTATAACAGAGGAGGGTCCAGGGGCCTGTGCTTTGAAAAGACTTTGGTACAGGTTGGTGGGGTACCCTGGGGTCTTCCGTCCAATAGCAGCCCCTGAAAGCTGAAAGTAGGGGGGCATCCTTCCAGGTTGGCAGTGGCTGCAGGCATGGTTGGTGTTTCCTCCCCCAGCTGCCCCCAGCTGGGCCGTGCACACTGGATGTGGGGGCAGAATTACTCGCACCTACCTCAGCACTCGGCTGGCTCAGGGAGGCCAGTGCCGTGACCATGAGGGCCAGCGATCCATGTGCTCTCTGGGAGGGGACTTCTGTGCCTCACATCCCCTACTCCCTATGGAGTCCAACCCAAGGGGGTTGAGCCTCATGCAGAGAGCAGCCTGTGTCATGGAGGCTTTTGGGGCCCGACCTGTGACATTCCCAGAGCCACCTGGGGGGCAGTGCTGGAGCTACCCCTTCAAGAACTCCACGCCTTGCGGTGGGTTAGAATGCAGGAGGAGGGCTGGCCGTGAAGGAGGGGCTGCAGAGGGGCAGGAAAGGGCGCCTGCTTGAATGGAGAAAATGGCGACCTGTCCCCGAGTGTGGCCCGTCATGTTGAGCCAGCCTGTTATTTCTCTCATTAAAGATGGTCTTTGATTCTTCACTGAGGTGTCCTGGGGCCCACGGATGTCAAAGTGGATGTAGATAAAAATAGCCTCTGGCAGGGCAGGCTGCCCAGAGAGAGATTTGCAGCCCTCACTTGGGGACTGCTCGCATGAGCTCGAGTTCTGGGCTGGGAGCACGTGTGTGCTCCGTGCAGTGAACCTGCCTGTGCGTTACATCCCTCCAGATGTGCCCCGGCAGCCCCTCCTCCTGCTCCCAGTCGCCTCCCTCATCCCCACGTCAGCTTTCCTCAGCCTCCTATTTTTAGCTCCCTTCCCCAGGGCCTGGCTGACACCGATGCAGCCTCTGTTTGGAGTTGCATCTCCGGGAATATTAGAAGAGGCCAACTCAGTGCGTGGAGCCAGACCTCCCTGTGGCAGTGCCCTCTGACCTTGGGCTGACAGGGGCTGGAGAAGTGGCCTGTGGGGAGAGACGGCAGGAGGCAGGTAGCAACAGACAGGTGTGGGAAGGCTTTTCAGTCTGCAGGAGGGTCAGAGCCCAGTGTGTCTGCCGAAGCGGAGGACATCCCTGGTACCTCGGGTGGGGCTGTGCTTGCCTTTGATTCCTGCAGGCATGGGGGCTGTAGTCCCTGCAGGCCCAGGGAGTTGGGGCTGTTGGCTGAGAACTTGTAGGTCCCAGCCTGGGCCTGAGGAAGAAGTGCAGACAGGGAGGGGCGGGGGGCTCGCCCAGGCCCCTGACCCGGGAGAAGACTGTAGCCCGTTCCAAGTGTGCCATGTCTGTGGGGTCTGAGGGAGCATGGTGACTTCATGCTTCTGGGCACACTGGGGAGGGGATGTCTTGCCAGATTAGCTGAGGCTTCGATTGCACACACTGCAAAGATGAAGGGTGTTTGCAGAGCAGGCTTCCAAACTGGAGCAAGCCTGCCCCCTTTCCGGAGGGTCTCACTGGTGTTCACAGATGCACGTCTCCCAAGGTGGTCAGGGCCAGAACTCAGA